TAGAGGTGTCAAAGAATCAATTTGGGTTTATGCCTAGCAAGTCAACAATGGAGCGATTTATCTATTGAGGAGAGTAATAGAAAAGTAGAGAGAAAATAAAAGAGACATTTATATGATGTTTATCGACCTTGAGAAAGCATGTGATAGAGTGCCTCTAATATAATATGGCGGGTGTTGGAGAATAAAAGGGTGACAAAAGGTTACATTGATGTGATTAGGGACATGTATGAAGGGGTGGTGACCACGATTAGATTGCTTGCTAGAAAGACAAATGAATTTCCTGTCTCTGTAGGGTTACACCAAGGATCTATTTTAAGTCCTTATCTTTTTGCGTTAGTTATGGATGAGTTGACGAGAAATATTCATGATGATGTGCCATGGTACATGCTTTTTTCAGATGATATCGTGTTAATAAATGAGACTACAGAAGGAGTTAACATAAAGTTGGAGATTTGGAGAAAAACACTTGAATCTAAAGGATTCCGGATAAGCAGAACTAAGACAGAGTACATAGAGTGTAAATTTAGTAACAGTAACAATGAAAGTAGAGGAGAAGTGAAGATTGAGAACCAAGAACTGCCTAAGAGTGATCATTTTCATTATTTAGGGTCGATTATAACAATAGCGAGGGAGATTGATGCGAATGTGGCCCATAAGATTAAGGCGGGATGGCTTAAGTGGAGAAGTGTGTCTGGGGTACTGTGCGATGACGAATACCCACTAGACTAAAAGATAAATTCTATAGAACGGCTATTAGACCAACGATATTGTTTGGGACAGAGCGTTGGGAAACCAAGAAATAATATGTAGACAAGATGAGTGTTGCTGAGATGAGGATGCTAAGGTGGATGTGTGGCAAAACTAGACAAGACAGAATTAGGAATGAGTGTATTCGGGAATGGGTAGGAGTAGCACCGATAGAAGATAAGTTGACAGAGAATCGATTGAGATAGTTTGGTCAGTAGTAAAGAGATGTGATAAAGTGACGGTAGATGGAAGTGTTAAGAGACAGGGTAGGCCTAGATTAACATTGGTTAGCGTTGTAAATAGAGATATGGATCTACTTAATTTTACTAACGAAATGGCCTTTGATAGGGCTGCGTGGAGAAGAAGGATTTATGTAACCGACCCCATTTGATGGAACTTAAGGCTTGGTTTGGTTACACTGAGGATTTTTTTTAGAGTGTTACAATGGAGTGTTACATTTGATTGTTACATTAAAGTGTTACAGTTTGAAATTATACATTTGTCCAAAGCTTACTAAGGAGTTTTTGTACTCCTTTTGAAATATTTGAATAATCCCAAATCCTTTTGAAATGTTTGAAAAATCTCATATTTCAAGTCATTTTTTTACTCATTTTGAAATGTTTTCCCAATAAAAAAGATTCTCATATAAAAATTCATCCCAAATTTGATTCTCATATATTGTGTACTTTACCTTTCTAGCACAAAAGAAAAAAGAAAAGGAAACATAATAGAAATAAGGGTATAACTATAAATCTAATTTTCAAATAATATATTGAAGGAAATGGCTTCCCTTCAGTCCGTGATCGGATTGGAGAGTATTGTTGGGCCCATGGGAGTCCACCACGGGCCCTGTTTCGATAATCCAAACCGTTCAACGTGTAGAACTCGTCGAGTACTATATGTCCGTAAAACATCACGTTGATCGGATATCTATAGCTATGTGATCAAATCAGATTTTTGTAAGTCGTTTATTTTTCACTGTCCATTTTTTTTATACAAAACTGATTTGATTACATAGCTATCGATATCTGATCAACGTGATTTTTTACAGGCATATAGTACTCGACGGGTTCTGCACATTGCACGGTTCGAATTATCGAAATGCGATCCGTAGTGGGCCTCCACAAGCCCAGCAGTACCCTCCAGTCCGTGATTGGACTGGAAGGAAACCATTCTTTATATTAAATTTACCTTTCCACAATCAATAGGACTAATTGGTCTATAAGAAAATCATTGGGACTAAATGGATCTCTATTCCTCAAGATGGGATTTACATGTAAATTTTCCATAAATAAATATAATATATTAAATATTTTATTACTTAAAATCATTTGTTAAGTCATTTTTCCCGAATTACATGTAGTTAGTGGTTTGATATCCAACTAAAGTAGCTAGCCAATAATTGAGTTCGATGGAATGTGTTTCTATAATTTTGTATTATTAAATAGGCAAGGGAATACTCTAACACTACAACAAAACTAACTATTTATGACTTCAAGTTTACGGCATATATTAAATGCATGTCGTAATTAGTACATTCTATGGCATTTTTTTTATAACGCCCCAAAACAAATACAATAAACCAACCACAATATCAATGAACGACAACTACGATAAAGTAATTATCTTCCATTAAATCCAATTGAGTTTACAAAAATGAAACATATACGGTATACATTCAAATGCCTGGCCTTGAAACTATAGCATATGTTTCGAACTAAAGGAAAAGAATGGAAGTCAACAGATAAAAAATGCCCTAAGGGCTTACAGCTTTCTAAGACGATGCTTGGTTACAACACAAGTGGACTTAAGTCCAATACAATTTTAAGCCCTTGGCTTGTATAAAATAAATATAACAAATAAACAAAAGAAGCTCTCACTCCAGGTCCTCCCAAGCTATTGCCTTGGTGGAGGTATATCATCAGCACCTGAAATGTTTATCCCACATAGGGTGAGCCAAAGCCCAGTAGAAATAATCCAACACTATATATGAATCTTAACAAAGCTATAAGGTGAATGGATATGTCATGTTCTTGCCCAAAACATATTTATATCTCTTTTCAAAACTATGCAATGCCAAGTTAATATCTTGATCATAAATCATTTCCATTACAATAGAAAATAGGGTGGTGATTCACACTCTGAGAATTTCAAAACAATACAACCTTTTCCAGAAAATTCGTCCGGAGGAAACCGTAAACAAGGACCCATGTAAACGTAGACTATACAAGCACCACTATTGCCATTTCATGGAAATTTCGTCCGTGGGATCGGCACCCATGTCTACGCGCGATTTTCGAGACTTTCACCCTGGACACATAGGCCAACTTATTTGATATAACAATAATCTCTTCTCAGATTCACCCATATTCTCAAAACAATAACATTTATAATTTATGAATGTGAGATAATGCTCAATACAAATGAATGAGAAAATAGTTTTAATTCTCCTAATTCATATGTAATTTCTACAACAATCATAGTTATCCTCCACCGATAGTCCAAAACAGATATTTCTAAACAGATATACAATCATCAACAAAGATTAACTCTCCAGCATTTCAAGAGGTGAGTGATAATGCATATCTGACTCCACCATCCATAATAATATCCATCCAATTCCACATTTCTAACACCAATTCCATTTATTTATACAAAATAAACATTTGAGACATTTAGGGCAAAACCTCTTTTCTTCCAAAACATATTTCGAGTATCTAAATCAATAATTTCATCACAACTCAATCTCATTTCCACTCCCACAACCATTTTCAATACATCCATTTAAAAACCCCTCTTTTGATGTTAAACCAAAACCCTAGGTTTGCCCAAATTCCACCAAAATTATGAGATTGTTTTATAAAGACACATAGCTAAGTTAAAAAGCATAAAAGAGTGTAGAGAATCCCTACCTCAAGCTTACAAGATGATTAAGAGAGTGAGGAAACTTCAACAACGTCGAAACCCAACTTTGATCGGATGAAAATGAAGCTCTAAGTGAGCTCTACCTTCTTCTCAAAGGGAATACGGTAGAGAAATCAATGGATATAAGTGTTTTAGAAGAGAGAATGTGAGTTTTAAAGAGAGAGAGTGAAATGAAAAAGTGATGTAAAAAGTAACTTTTACGAACTAATATACGTGTAGTCCGCTCGAGCACAAGAAGTGACGTTTAAGCGTAAGACACAAAAGATGTAACTGCTCGAGCGCAAAAAGTTGTCGCTCGAATGTGAAATACAAACTCCCAGTAGTTTTACAGACAAAAGACTAACGTTCGAGCGCAATAAAGGTCACTCGAGCCAAGATCGCTCGAGTGAAGAATACCAATTCCCAGTAGTTTTGTAGACCTGCAAAAGTACTGAGAGTTCACAAAGACCGCTCGAGCACAAGAAGTGACGCTCTAGCGTAGAAGCAAAATTTTGGACAACAAGGTTTTTGAAAAACAAAGTACCAATTTGTTTCAAACGCAACTAACACAACCCAAAAGCCAAACTCAAAGAGGTATAAGGGAAATAAGACATAAATGACTATACAAGGCAATGAAACCTGGGTCCAAAACATTAAATGGTTCAGGTCCAAACCAGAATTGCTATATTTTTTGTGCAAGTTGTTAATATTTTTTTAATAATGACATACATTTCATGTAAGTCGTTAATTCATATATTTATAGCATATAAAATTATACCATAAAAAATATATATTTTCACGACTTACAAAAATATGTTGTAAAATATTTGCACTTAAGACGACATACATTTCATGTTATAAAATATTATAACTTTACACGGCATGTATTAACATGTCATGAAAACTTCTACAAAAAAATAGGAAAAAAAAAAAAAAATCAATCCAATTTTTTTAGGGCATGCAAAAGTATGCTATAAAAATGTATTATTTCACGTATACAAAAATGTCATAAAATATTTACACTTAAGATGACATACATTTCATATCGTAAAATATTATAACTTTACACAGCATGCATTAGCATGCCATGAAAACTTTTATTAAAAAAAATTTCAATCCGATTTTTTTTAATATAAAATGTATTAAATTTAATATTTTTTTGAATTTAGTGATCTTTTTAGAAAATAAAAAATATTTCCTTCTAAGTATATGTAAATTATTTGAATTTAAAAAGTAAAACAAAAATATTTAAACTATTTAAAAACTTACAATAACTCTAAAAAAAAAAAAAAAAAAAAAAAAAACTCAAAAATTTATTTTAAGGCCCTGTTCATCACTCCCTCTCTCATTTTCCTTTATCTATACATGTTTTTTGCCCCAAACACACACACACACACACACTCTCTCTCTCTCTCTCTCTCTCTCTACATGCGAGCTCTCAAGTTCTCTTCGTTCTAGTCTGTTTGTGGTATGTTCTTCGAGCATTGCCTTGATCAATCGAGCCACTTCGCATCTCCTCACAATGTATGTCATTCACTTTCTCTCCGAATCGATTAATTTTTCTCTTTGTCTCTCGATCATATTTTCCCAAAAGCTTCAAATTCATCATTTTATTTGAAGTTAGGGTTCAGTGAGAGCCATGGAAATGCAAACTACGAAGCCAAATGCAATCTCAATCAATTAATCTCAAGCCCTAACTGATCTCTATACTCCTCTGTATCTAACGATTCAATCTCTCTGTAATATCTTCTTTGATCGTGAACTTGAACCAGTTGAAGCAATTCATCAATGATTGAAAGTCCAATCCCTCAATCCTCTTCGATCCTTCTCTCTCCTTCTTCTGAGACTACCTCGAAAGGTATGATATAATTCACTTTTATGTATTTATACTTTCCTGATGAATTTGCTCTTATTATTTTTTTATTTCAATTTAATATGTTTCAGCCTCGGTTGTAAACTTCCTCCATCTGCTTACAAGCCTAGAGAATCTCCCTGCAACATATTAGTACTTCTGCAACCATCTTTGTTCGTATTTAATTTGTTTGGCTGCTCAAAAAATGTAGGAAAATGCGTGAAACCAAAATTGTTAGTCTAGAATTTCAAATTCCTTTACTTGTGTTCTGTGTGGGTGTGTGGGGATTCAAGAGCAAGAATGATCAACCAAACATACGAAGGTTTAGGGTTTAGGTCTATCAATGAATTTAACGTTCTAAATTTTATGAGTCCGATTGCAAAATTCTTATGTTTTGAATTTTTTGTGTAGCTTGATTTAGAGTTTTGATAGTTTGTAATATGTATTATCTTATTGATGCTGAATTTTGTAGATGAGAGACTCTTCTATTGAGGTCACAGAAGAAAACCGTGATGCTTCACAAGAGGCTAAGGCACAAGCTATGGAAGCAATTTCTAAAAGTATTCTAATTTCACTACATGTACATATGCACGTGCATAGAAGAAGTGTAAATTGAATCAAATTATGGTTGAACGACCTCGCCTATCCACTTCAATGAAAAACAAAAACACTTCAATGAAGTACTTGGTTTGTTTGACAAATTTACAAATAATAGCATAAGCTTTCAGAACAATAAGTGATCTAACAAGGTATCCAAACTTTGTGATTTTAGGAGGCCCTAGGTTATTCTTTTGTTTCCCTGTGTTATGTTTGTACACCTGTTTAATTCTGTTTGTGGATTATCTGTTTGTGGATTATCCCCACTTACAAGATAGGGTCACACTATAAGATGGCTTGATATAGGCTTTAAACTTTGAGATAATTGGTGATCTAACTAAGATGAAGAAAGTGGAAAATTGCTTCTAGAGGTTTAGGTGAGTTTTTCCAAAAAAAAAAAAAATAAATAAGAAAAATGAAGGTTTCTGAAATTTTCACCTAGAATCAACATGAAAAAATAGTTTCACAAGGTTTCAGTGTGAGTGTCAATGATGTATATCCAAATTGACCCACCTTTTGCCAAAAATCTTTGTATATCTCTGTTCTGAAGTTTAGAACAAAAGAGATGTCAACTGTTAGCTTTTTGCCCAAGCCATTTTTTGTGGAAGGTAAGAGTCTTGCATGTTCACAAGGCCACAAATCTATCAAATACAATGCCAAAACATCTTATTTATACAGGCTTACAACCCAAATAAAAAAGGAATCACTGCAGCTAAAGCTATTGTAGAGGCTGGAATTGCAGTGATAGAACATGTGGGGCTTACTCTTCAAGCCATCAGTGTTCTTGGAGGATTTAGGCCATAAGAAAAGAATATTGATAGTGTTGTCAAGGTCAAAATCTCTCCTTACTTATTATGCATACATGACATAAATACTTCATAATTTTTGTTGATAAAAAAAAAAAAAAACATAAATACTTCATAATTTAATATATAATCAAATATGATCACACACAAATCTGCATAATTTATTTTAGTGTTATGATGCTAATTTGGCTTGGTTTCTGCAAGTTGTTAAGTTTACCCTGGCTTTGCAAGAAGCTGGATGCTTTTCTGTTGTTCTAGAATGTGTGCTTGCACCTGTTGCTGCTACTACAACGTCTACTCTTCAAATCTCTACCATTGGTATTGGGGCAAGGCCTTTCTGTAATAGCCGAGTTAATTGATTCTTTAGCTCTCTCTGCTACTCCTAATAACAAATTAGACTTGACTGGCTTATGTTGTGTATAATCTTTTTGCTTTCATGTGTACATATAATTTGCTATCTGATCTTGTAATTTTCTTTTCAAGTACTAAAGTGGGCATTTTAGTGATATCATGTGTTCATGTATTGAGTTTGCTCATGTAATGAATTTTGAATTTGATTTTCCTCTCCCTCTCTCTCTCTCTCTCTCTATATATATATATATATATTAAAATTAACCTTCTACGGCATATAAAATTATATCATGAAAAGTATAATGATTTATGACATACAAGAAAATGTCGTAAAATATTATATACGACATACAAAGTATACTTGAAATATATTAAAAATAACCTTCTAAGGCATAGAAAATTATGTCGTGAAAAGTGCAACGATTTATGACATGTAAAAAAATGTTGTAAAAGATTATATACGGCATACATAGTATGTCATAAATATATTAAAAATAATCTTCTACGATATGCAAAATTATATCATAAAAGGTATAATAATTTATGGCATGAAAAAATTATCGTAAAAAATTATGTACGACATACGAAGTACTTCATTAATGTTTAATTTATTACTCTTTACAATTTTACCAGTATGTTATAAATGACGATCAACTTTCCATGACATATCATATAACGATATTTGTATCCATACCATGAAAGAGTTTTTATGGCATGTATTGCAAGCCGTAAAATTTCAATTTTGTTGTAGTGTAATGAGCTTTGAAGTAGGTAAAAATTAACTAAAGTCTTGATGCTTGACCCAATGCTAGATTTGCACCAAAGTGGGGCAAGCTTGGGGCTCGATCCAATGACCAAGCAAGGCAATCAAGGTAACTCAGCCCAATGCTAGGTCCACTCCGAAGTGGGCAACCTTTTGAGCTCGGCCGGACATGTATCAAAGTAAAAATAGGTGTGATAGAGATTTAAGTTGTGAAATTAATTACAAATTAGGAGTAATATATATATGACAAATATTATGTAAAATTAATTTGTGTTATATATATGAAAATTATTATGCAAATTAGTGTTATATATTATGCAAATATTTGATAATGGGTTAAAATATGACTCAATCCGCTCAAAATCGCCCAAACCGCAATTTACCAATCCATCAATCTACTAGTTCGCCATTCGGTTTAAATTTTTACTCTCAAACTGCATAAACAGCACCGCGCATACCCCTAACTACAAATAGGCTGCTTAAGAAGCTTGATTAGGTCAAATGAAGCTTGAAGATGCTCTCAGCAAGCTTGAATATAAGTTCAAGATTGACTCTACCCTCACATTTATCATTCTATAAAAAAATAAAAAATATACTTATTTAAATAATCTCAAACACTCTTGAACTCTAGCAAACCACCTTGAACAGTTAAAGATTTGGTCCAACATGTTTCATTTGCACCTGTACGGCAGACCTTAAGTTTACAGGATAAATAAAAATTGCTCCCAGTAAGTCGCCTTAAATTTGCATCTCTTCAGATAAAAATATTTAGCCCAAAACAAAGACATTAAAAAATTGCTAGGAATATGGGTCATCATTGCACAATATAAGAAAATTATTTGTAATAAGATATTGGTACCATGGACATGAACTTCATAATAAATCCCATCTCTTAACTTAAATTTGAGCAGTCAAACCAGCATTTAAATATTTTCAGTACAATCAGCTTACAAGTAATGCTAGAGTGTGAGCGCGAGCCTTCGTGCACACACACAAAGGTAAGGGAGCTATTTGGCAGGTGTCTAGCTTCAAGAATCTCAATACAAAAATCTTGCAACCAGTTTACTGGGTCAGCTAGCTCTTTGGCAATCATGTTCCCCAAGGGTAAAACATCGGATGCAGGTTACAGAAGTCAGAATCAATAAGTAAACATATAAAAGCATAAAACAGGTCACCACTATGACGTGTAATTGGCCAAATTCAACAACTTCTGGAAAAAAATAAAATAAAATAAAGGCTTAGAGCATCCAAAACATAATTTAAAATAAACTGACTCTAACTAGATAATAGGAATAGCTTCAGCGTAAGTGGAGATGATTTTCTTATCATCTCACGAAACAATACCATGGCACCAACCACCTAATGACACATACATTAAGCTTTTTTTTGTCTTTTTTTCTTCCCCAACAATTCTCTTTTTACATCAGTGGCAAAGCAACTAAACATGATACTTCATAATATCATTATAGTACAAACAAAATAAAATAAAAAACTAAGGCTGAATCATGCTTATTATTTTGCTGAGAACGCAATTACAATTTAAAATAAATAAAAACAAAAAGTGAGCTAAACATAGGATATTAGTATGACCATTTGACCAATTAATATGTGCTGAGCTAAATGGAGACATATAATCACTAGTCAACAACTCCATAAGATCAAAAAATATACATAAGAAAATGAAAAGATATATGAAAGAGAAGAAATACAAAAGAACAGGACATCAATCTGTAAAAATGAAAATTTAATTTCATAAATTTCACTTAGAGAATGAGGTTAGTAAACAATGAAGCAACGACCACTGTAACCACCCATACATGTCTCACACTAATGCCTCTATCAAGACAACATACGTGCATTCACTCCAAACCCCAAGGAGAGGGGCGAAGACATACACGAACCTCATGCTCTTCAGGTCCCACATGATGTTTGGGCACAATAATCTCAAGCATTGTTCCTGTCTCATCCCCATATGCTTCTAGTTTAGCATCTTCTGGGATACGCACTGCAAGGGGGATTTCCCTAACAAACTCCCCTGGAGGGCAATGCTCTGGAGTTGGATCCATCAACTTGAATGTCCTATCTTGTCTCTTAATAATCGGCATACGCCCAGTGCTGACACAAGCAATCTTTACAATCCCATGAGAGAGAGTGTTCCTCCAAGTAACTTTCACCCTCTGAAGATCTACAAAAGGCAAGCTGACAATGATCAAGAAGCCCTCATCATCCTCATAAATAGTTTTTGCAGCAGTTACTGGACCATATGCACTCCTCATTACCCCAGTGAATTCATTTAACCAGTATGGCTCAATTGGGTGGATATCCAAAACTCTATCAGGCTGTGTATTATTAGGCAAACAACAATCGTCATCATTTCCATGAGACAAAAAATTTTTCCTCCGTTTGTTGTAAACAGGCAAATCTGTCCCATCCCCATTAACATGGTTTGGTGGTTGAGTTGACAAATTCAAACTAGAACCATTGAGCAATCTTTTTGGATGTGGATTTGTGTTAGTCTTTAATGGAGGAGGTGGGCGCTCAAGCTCGAATTCTGTATTTAGAAGGTTCCTCCATGACCCAAAATCACTAGCTTCAAGAGGGATTGAAAAGTTTATGTCCCTCCCTGTTAGCTCCGTCCACTTCTTGCGCTCTTCCTCATCAAGCCCCATGAGATTGGGAGATCGAACAACTTCAATCCCATGAACGCATTGGGGGTTAGAGAGACCCCTATATTGTTTCCTCTGCATTCTATGCGACCGAACAAAACCCCTGTCCACACTGAATGGAAAGGGGCGCTCCCCCTGGCGAGAGTGCCCATTCATGTAACTCCTTAGCTGCATCTTACCTAATGCATTTTCAGGTTTCTCCTTGAAAACCCACATGTACATGTTCTCCATATCGTGTTGAACCAAGAAAACATCGAGCTTCAAGTCCGACTTATCATATCCAGAAACCCCATTACTTTCCCAAGTTATCTTACCCTTAGATTTCTCATTCAAAGCTGGTTTGAAATAAAAATTGAAGAAAAACCAAGCACCCCAGACACTATCAAGCCGCTTGGCACATTTCTTCCCAGCTTTCGTGACAGTAATATTGGTCTCGGCCTCATAATGCTGAGTAGCGAGGCCAACATCTAACATGTCACAAGGATCGTTCCATGATGGGGGCGGGGGGCTATGTTCAGCAGAGAGTGGGAGATTGATATCAGGCGGTCGATAATGATTGAAGCCCCGATTCAACTCTCTTTCCATTTCATCGTGCAAAGACGAACTCGAGTCCATGGATAAGAGAGTAGAAAATCGATTACTCTCCATGGACAAGGTTGTGAGAAAAGCCTCACCCATTTTTTCTTTTGTGGACTTTGTTGTCACTGAGGTGGAATTCATAGTCCCACCACAGTCAACACTCAACAACATGAGCACATAACAAACATCTTCATCATATCAATCAAACCCACATCAACCATGGATAGATTGATTCATGAATCAAGTCACAACCTACCCAACAACGAGAACCAATCCAAAAAACTATAAAAGCACCTCAGAGACATTTTCATCAACCAAATTAACAGATTTATCAATCAATCTGTCACATAACCCCCCAACAATCACACAGATTGAATCTCATGAAATCTACACCGTTTAAAATGGGATAAAACCCTAAACCTAGAGAAACGGAGATATATATACGAGATCCAAAGAGATAATTCAAACGTACCTGTGTACTAAAGACTTTGAACCGCCATAAGAGAGCTTCAGAATTGCTAGAGAGAGAGAGAGAGAGGGAAGAAAGAGAGAAGGAGCGAGAAAGAGAGAGAAAAAAGGGGATTGTGATAACGGAGTCCGTTTAAAGAGACGGTGTCGCGTGGACGGGTCGCTGAATGAGGACGACCCGCCCCAGTCAAGATCGCACGGTAATGTTTAAACGCCGTTAATAACGAGGACGATAAGATTGAGGCAGAGAGCTGATAGGTCAAAAGAGGCGTCTAGGATCGGTGGACCGTTGATCTTTCCATCCTCAACTCCCATCCAACCCTTCCCTCTCTCCCCTACAATTTTTTTTTTCTTTTTCTTTTTCTTTTCATTTTTTTTTATCACATCAGTCACCTATGATTAAAGAGAGCACTTACAATTATTGTGGGGATATTACATTTTCAAGGGAGCGACGCATTTTAATTTTAACTTCTTCTCTTTTTCTTTTTCTTTTTCTTTTTTTTTTTATTTTTTTTTATTTTTATGTGTGTAGAAAATAGAGCTAATAAAATTTTGTTTGGGAACATACAATTTTAATAATTTTTTAATTTTTGATGAAAAAATATGTGAAAAAATAAAGCGAGTGATGTGATAACTTATAATGACTTTTTAACTTTTTGACTAGAACAGAAAGTTACCAAATGAGGCCTAAATAATAATAAGAGTAATGTTATAGATCTTAATTAATCTATCAAATATTTTACTATACCTTTCACATAGATATGAGATCCACATATATATAGATTTGTGTGAGTCTCACACCCATGTAAAAGATTTGATAAAACATTTAATAAATTATTTAAAGCTCATAGTATTTTCTTAATAATAATTTTAGTTATTCGCATCTTTATAAAACCCATCATTAAAAACACTAATTCTATTGATTCTATACTCTAAATTTTTTTTTTTAATAAATTTTTCCGTCATCTCTCAAATGATAAATGTATATGGTATGATATTATGTGTAAAAAAAAATGGAAAAGAAAAAAAGATGCATATGATTTTTAAAAGAGAAATACAAGAAGGAGAGAGAATTGGGATTACTTTTGTGAACGATGCATAATAGTAATCATTGTGTTGCATGTGAGACTCATTTCAGTTTTATTATGATTATATGAATTATTTATTTAAAAAATAAATATCAAATAAAATATATTTATAAAAAATTAAATTAATCGAATATCGATAATTATTTTATCTAATTACATTTCATATAAACAAAATGAATTTTTAAATAACAATTGAATATAAAAGTGATTTAATAAAAGTATATTTGATTAATTTAATTTTTTACTAATATATTTTACTCGATTTTTTTTAAAAAAATTAACCATTCAAATCATTAAAATAAAACCAAAAATGAGTCTTACAAGCTGTACGTGCACAGTAGTGAACCTAAGGCCTAGTTTGCGAAGAATAAATAAGTGCACTTTTTGACTTTTTATGAAATGTGGGTTGGGTTGGGTTTGAAGTGATGTGTTAGAGAGGTGATGTGATTTAAATAAGATGATGTGACTTAAATATGATAGTAACTTTTTGACTTTTTGTCTTTTTTCAATCATGCCAAACTTGGAAAAAATGTAAAATAAGGGGTAAATTACACCCATACCCCCTAAGGTTCCAAGCTAATACATTATGACCTTTAAGTCATGTTTGTTTGGGCAGACTGGATTAGCATTCCCATGACTAATAGTCCTAGGACTACGAATCCGTTGGATTATGTATCCTATTTTAACTAATAGTCAAGTTTAAAATAATTAGTCCGTACTTCAATTGTTTAACCAAATATCGAATTAATAATTTTATTGGACTATTAAACCAATCCCAAGCTCATGTCCACCCAAACAAACATGGCCATATGGTTCTGGAAAATACATCCCTTTCCCTAAGGTTGATAGTTACATTACAAAAATCTCCCTCCATTAGTTGACTGTAACGTATACTAACAGATTTTGGGGAGCTTCTATTTACACACACAATATACACTTTTTGCACATCCTCCTCACTACACTTTTTGCACATCCTCTTCATTAAGTGTGTGTATAGAGTGGGTTTGGTGTGAGTAAATAGAAGCTCCCCAGATTTTGCTTATGTCATCATTTAAATTTATTAACATGCCATATTTACCCTTGTCAAATTCTTCTCTCTAACACAATATTTACCTATGTCTTACAATCATTTCTTCAAACAGTTGATATGCACAGACATGCCATCACCAAACCACCTTTATAGAGCACTTCTCACACGAATAGCAAACAAGCACTCATATACTCCCAAACAATGAAACAACCATTCCTTAACTTCCATTGCCCCAACATTACTACCCCATTGCCAATTTTCCGTGCCATTCCCCAAATGCTACTACAGCATAAGCTACCACAACCAACATTCATACCAACCATTACCAACAATACCGAATACTTGTACCCTACCCCACTCACTTTAGCTCCCACCTAGCCACCCCCTTACCTCTAACAACTACCTTCATACCTTTCTCTCTCACTCCACCACTTGAAATAGAGATACAGAAAGTAATAATTTGAAATGTCATTTAGTCTTTTGATCAAACAGTTGATATGCACATGCCCCCCTCATATCCTGCTGCAATTGCCATAGCTCACCACTATTATACCATCAATCTCTATCACTGCCATTTTCACCCACCTTTGCATCCACCCATCAACCAACGAATCATAATTTTTGCGGCAAAGAGAGATATATATATATATATATATATAGAGAGAGAGAGAGAGAGAGAGAGAGGATTAAGCATCTCATATGCACACCTCTCTACTTTGCACACTATTTCCAGAACTAAAAACACACACCAATCTCTGTTTTTTTCTTTTTTTGGTTATCCTTGCTGCAATTGTTGAGAAATAGCATCCCATCTTAGAAAGCGAAGATCTGGAGGTCGCAGCTGGAAATGGTAGGTTGGATTGGGTTGCTGAAGGTCACGATTGAGAAAGGTGGGTAGCGCTGTTAGAGGTCGTGGATTGGGGAGGTTTGGGAGGTTGGGTCGCTGGAAGTTGCAGTTGGAAAGGCTGGGTCAGCGAGAAGATGATAAATGTGATGATGGAGGTAAGGCAGCCAATGGTGGTTGTGGGCGTCGGTGATGATGGATGTGGGATAACTAACCGTTGTTGTGGAGATGATGATGCATCTTTCATGTTTGATAAAATGGCTTAAAGAGGACAAATGGGAGACGAGGAGAAGCTCAGCCCAAAGAAAATTAAAGGGTAAAAGGGTAATTTTACTTTTTTCTGTTAAGAGTGTCAACTAATAAAATCTGACAAGCAGCTAAGTGTAATTTCCAAAATTGAAATTATATTTGGCCAAGTTTGGAATCTCTCCAAAAGGATAAAAAGTTAAAAAGTTACTCAAAAAATTAAAAAGTTATTATTATTTACTAAAAAAAAATTAAAAAATTAATTTTCCACACAAGAGCACAACTCAGCAATCATGTATGTTTAGCTTCTGCGTTTGTTAAGAAAAATTGCACAGTTTGGGTGCAATTTTCATACACTGTTGTTCGACCCGTGAGGTGCATCACGGGTCCCATTTTGATAATCTGAATCATTCAATGTGTAGAACTCGTCGACAACTATATGTCTGTAAAAATCAAATTGATTGGATATCGATAACTACATGATCAAATCAGTTTTGTATAAAATAATGGATGGTGTTATAATTAACGATTGAAAAAAAATTAATCTGATCAGATAGCTATCGATATCCGACCAATGTGATTTTTTTATAGACATATAGTACTCAACAGGTTCTACACATTCAACGGTTCAGATTATCAAAATGAAACTCGTGATGGTCCCTACGGGCTAAACAAAACTGTCCAGTGCAATGTCCGAAAAGTAGCCAATAATTTCTTACCATCAATTCGGTTGTGCAGATTGTATGGCTGTATAACACATATCTCTAATCTTCGCCTACACACTTTTTTATACAATTTTTTAACACACATTTTTCCATAAAAAGTTAAAAAATTAATCTAAACATTTATATATATATTTTTTAATTTTTAGTTCAAAAAGACAAAAAGTACATTTATTTTAGACATCCCAAACAACCCCGGAGACATACCTCAAGGGTATAGGTGCAATTTACTCTAAAATAAAAGAAGATATGATTGCCATTTATAGTAAAACCTTGACAGGCACAGAGTTGGAATTTTTATCTAGTAGGCATACGCAGATGATTTTTTTATTTTTTATTTTTCAAAAGTTATTTAACTACTATAGATAAAAATGTAACTTTTCAAAATTTTGGTAGGGTAAATAAATAAAAAAAAGTTAAAATTATAAATAAAATTAAAACCATATATAAAATTCCAATTTTCAGAACTATATATAAATGATGCTTATATATGGAAAGAAGGTACAAATTTATGTATAACTTGAATTTGTTATATATGACACAAGATAATTGTGGGACGTATGTTTTTAGTGTAACCATGTGAGTCCAAGATCTCATACATGTAATATGATCTTAAATTGTGGTGCCATAATACTGATTGAGGTTATGACATTGATCAATCCGTAGTCAAAGTATGACTCCTAGCCTAGGTCGTTGAAATCCAATGGAGATGTGACTCTTAAGTTGGGTATGAATTTGGACTTTGGAGGAGAAGAAACTCAACCCAATTAGGAAGAAGAATTCTAAATAAATAATACTTGCTAGGCAAGTAGTGTTCTAGATGAAAATTGAATCTAAGATGATGATGCACGATACTGTTATATAAAGAGCACACTTATTATTATGCATGTTTTAATAATTTAATGTAACTTTCAATATTTATACTATTGAGTATTATTTAGAGAGAGAAAGTAGTTGACTTTAACGTTGGAGTGCCCGTCCAGAAAAAGTCAGATAGGGCACTGACAGTTCTTTGTCTTGTAGATTCTTGGCAAATTCATCTGTGAATTTCATTCTCAGATTTCTAGAAGATCTTATTGATCATGTGAGGTCAGGTCAGGTCAGATTTTATTACATACACTAATTATACAAATGGAGGTTAATTGTGAAATGGAAGTTGCAAGATATTTCTATTGTGTAGTAGCTTCGATTATCATCTACTGTCTGTCTCTCACTCCCAACCAAGGTTTTAAGCAAGCAATGTATATATGCAGCATTATTAGAATACATAAATGATGATTAAGAAGCAAACAAATTGTATACACCTGGAACAGTAATACTTACAAAATGGAATTTTAAATGTTTTTTATTTTTTATTTTTTAAATTCATGTATTAGTACCACCTTCGCGGAATCTGACCGATTAAATGA